CGTGTCCCCGTTGGAGGAGATGGTGGCGGGATATAAATAAAGATTATTATTATTATTATTATTATTATTACACAAATAATAATAATAATAGCAGCCCTGTATCCCCGTTGGAGGAGATGGTGGCGGGATATAAATAAAGATTATTATTATTATTATTACACAAATAATAATAATAATAATAGCAGCCCTGTGTCCCCATTGGAGGAGATGGTGGCGGGGTATAAATAAAGATTATTATTATTATTATTATTATTATTATTACAAAAATAAGAATAATAATAGCCGCCCCGTGTCCCCATTGGAGGAGATGGTGGCGGGGTATAAATAAAGATTATTATTATTATTACAAAAATAATAATAATAGCTGCCCCGTGTCCCCGTTGGAGGAGATGGTGGCGGGGTATAAAGATTATTATTATTACAAAAATAATAATAATAATAGCCGCCCTGTGTCCCCGTTGGAGGAGATGGTGGCTGGGTATAAATAAAGGTTATTATTATTATTACAAAAAATAATAATAATAGCCGCCCCGTGTCCCCGTTGGAGGAGATGGTGGCGGGGTATAAATAAAGATTTTCATTATATTATTATTATTATTATTATTATTATTATTATTATTATTATTATTATTATTATTATGGTGCTTTACCTATCTATATGATCAAAACATGAATTGATGCTCAGAACTTAAATACGCCAATAAAATTACAAAAGCAAACACACGCTTAACTACATATTTACAGACTTTTCCAACACCATGGATAAGGTTTTGTGATACAAAAAGCTCTTTAAAATCCTATGATCAGTTCATACTATGTACAGGAGGGGAAGAAGAGTGTACAACTACGTTTACACAAACATGTCACAGTGTTAAAATCAGCACCACAAAAAAGCCATTATGACAGAAGGAAAAATGAAGAGCAAAGCCCAGTTCATGCTCCTGAATTTTGCCTATGCAACCCTTCTCGTAACTGCAGGAAGACATAAACCAGAAACAGACACATACACTACTAGACAAGACTATTTGTATTTTCACAATTTTAACACATTTTATACACATTTTATCTAGCTCATGTGAGCCGAAATAACACAGAGGAGTCGTAGCTATCACACATGAGAATTACCTCTGAAAAGTGTTAAATGTAGCAACTATCAAAGAGGTAGCAGTGATAGTTTTGTTCAGTATATTAAGAGAACGGGGTCTTGTAGCACCTTTAACACTAACCAGTTTAATTCAGCATATGCTTTTGTCAGCTTCTGAAGATTTCAGTTTCGAAAAAAATACATGTGAAGAAATGGGCCATCAATCATAAAAAGTCAGTTTTGAAGGTGCCTCTTTTTATATTAAAGAGATGCACAAGAATAAAAATTATTCAGCCTAGGTAGGTGCATCTATCTTGGACACTAAGTCAGTACTAGAGCAGTTTAAGTGTCATACAACTGAAAACTGTATTGAAGATAAGAAAAGTTCCATCTACCGTATATTCTGGCATATAAGACTACTTTTTAACCCAAGAAAATCTTGGTTTAATCTGTCCGAACGTATCTCCTTCTAGCTTAAGATCTTCTGGGGAGGCCCTGCTCTCGGCCCCGCCTTTGTCTCAAACACGCTTGGTGGGGACGAGGGACAGGGCCTTCTCAGTGGTGGCCCCCCGCCTGTGGAATTTGCTCCCCGGGGAAATTAGATCATCGTCATCCCTCCTCACCTTTAGAAAAAAGGTCAAAACGTGGCTGTGGGACCAGGCCTTCGAGCAATCAGGTTAAAGGATATTTATTTATTTATTTTTTTACTTTACTTTACTTATATACCGCTGTTCTCAGCCCGAAGGCGACTCACGGCAGTTCACAACAACTAGGAACAGCAAAACATTCAATACTACAGTGTAAAAAACAATTAACAACCTAACAAATTACACAATTAATAAGTAATTACTACAATAACCATTCACTATCGTCAATTCATCGAAAACATAATCCAGATTCGTCATCCATTGTTCCTTTCCTATGTTCATTACCAATCATTGCACTAATTATTCGAACGCCTGCTCAAACAGCCAGGTCTTCACTTTTTTGCGGAATACCATTAGAGATGGTGCTAGTCTAATGTCCGTGGGAAGGGCGTTCCACAGCCGATTAGCCACCACCGAGAAGGCCCTATCTCTCGTCCCCACCAGCCGTGCTTGAGAAGCAGGTGGGATCGAGAGCAGGACCTCCCCGGAAGATCTCAAAGTCCTGATGGGTTCATAGGCAGAGATGCGGTTGGATAGGTGCTTGGGCCGGAACCATTTAAGGCTTTATAGGCCAATGCCAGCACCTTGAATTCAGCCCGGTAGCAAATCGGTAGCCAATGGAGCTGGCGCAACAGGGGGGTTGTATGCTCCCTGCGCTCCGCTCCTGTTAGAATCATGGCTGCCGCACGTTGGACTAATTGAAGCTTCCGGGCCGTCTTCAAGGGCAACCCCACGTAGAGAGCGTTGCAGTAGTCTAGACGGGATGTAACCAGAGCATGGACTACTGTGGCCAAGTCAGACTTCCCAAGGTACAGGCGCAGCTGGCGCACAAGCTTTGATAATATTTGATAATTGATCATATTTGACTATGGCATGGAAAAGTATTTGGATAAGTTAAGCGGAGTAATAATTAGTAGATGGTTAGCTAAACAGCCACCAGACGGGCAATAGCTAATCAGAGTCTAAGTATACTGTTTTAATCTTTATTTATTAATGTTCATGTTTAATTGTTATATTTCTTATTCTGTATTTTATGATGCGGCATTGAATTATTGCCAATTGTAAGCCGCCCTGAGTCCCCCCCAGGGGTTGAGAAGGGCGGGGTAAAAATGTTCGAAATAATAATAAATAAATTCTCAAAAGCCAGGGGTCGTCTTATACGCTGGAGTAGCCTTATGCATGGGAGTCATCTTATATGCGGGAGTAGTCTTATACGTCGGGAGTCATCTTATAGAGCAGGTGCTGAAACTTCCAATCTGTGGTTGCTGCATATTGTGGGGGGGAGCTCAAAAATGACAGTGGCCGCATCCCTGCCGTATGCAGCGACTGTATGAAAGCATTAAGGGCATCGCTGTACAAGTACAGTAGAAGAAAATCCATTCATCAGGATTCGTGGACTTAATGCAGTCCCGATGGTGAGGTGAAGGGGCGCCTCACCAGGAAGGTGTAAGTGAAGGGCGGAGCAAGCTGCAGGCATCCGGGGCGCCCGGGGTATGGAAAAAAGAGATAGAATGGCTCTGGGCCCAGAAAAACACAACTCTTGTACCTGTCTGGCCCGCCCTTGTATCCTATTACCGTACCTCCTCCTCTGCCTCTCAGATGTCACTCCTGAAGACTGCAGTGAAGCAGTGCAGATGCGCATGTGCGAGATCTGAGAGGCAGAGAAGGAGGGACAGTAATAGGAAAATTACCATATTGAAATCAAATCTGATGCTTTTAAAATTTCTTATTTAGTGTGTGTTGGAAGAGGGGTAGTTTTATATGGTGAGTATATCCCAAACTCTATATTTTAACAGGAAAAGTTGGGGGTCATCTTATACGCCCAGTCGTCTTACATGCCAGAATATACGGTAAATCACGTGCAGCCTTCCAAATGTTTACCAGACCACAGCTCACACAGCCCTGCAGTTCATAACCTCTGAAAGGATGTAGAACTCCAACGCCTGATCTAAATCCAGTATACTTTTTCCAACTACAAGAAGGACATGAATAAGAATAGGGTATCCTTAGTAAGACTAGCATATAGTTTGGTTTTTTTCCTGCACAGCATGAAAAAAAAAGTAACCTACTTAATTAACGTGATGAACAGTGAAGATAATTGTTTTTTATGTTTTTAAATTGTTTTTATTGTGTGATTTGATAAATTGCTGTTGAAATTTTATACTATATATGGTTAAGACATCAAATGGCTGCAAAGTTGTAAGCCACCTTGAGACACCTTTGGGTTCGAGAAAGGTGGGATAGAAATATCATAAATAAATAAGTAAATTAACTCTGTGCTACAAAATTATGTGGAATGCTGAGCGTTGTAAATTGACAAGAATGCAGAGAATTGTATTGTTAAAGGCTTTCATGGCCGGAATCACTGGGTTCTTGTAGGTTTTTTCGGGCTGTATGGCCATGTTCTAGAGGCATTTCTCCTGACGTTTCGCCTGCATCTACGGCAAGCATTCTCAGAGGTAGTGAAGTCTGTTGGAACTAGGAAAAAGGGTTTATATATCTGTGGAATGACCAGGGTGAGACAAAGGACTTCTGTCTGCTGGAACTAGGTGTGAATGTTTCAACTGACCACCTTGATTAGCATTTAATGGCTTGGAAGTGCCTGGGGGAATCTTTTGTTGGGAGTGATTTGATGTGCCTGATTGTTTACCCATTTTCCTACTTTCAACAGACCTCACTACCTCTGAGGATGCTTGCCATAGATGCAGGCGAAACGTCAGGAGAAAATGCCTCTAGAACATGGCCATATAGCCCGGAAAAACCTACAACAACCCAGTGATTCCAGTCATGAAAGCCTTCAACAATACAATGGAAAAGTTACAACTTCCAGGCCCTGGTCAAGTTAGCTAGAGAATTCCGGAAGCAGCAATTCTAAAAAGTAACTTTTCCTAACTCTGATGTAAAAAATGAACCAGACTTGTTCAAGTTTTGGGATAGTTTCATTTTTTACAAGAATGATTAAAACAGTAATATGTCTTTCACAAAAGAGGTTTGGCTAGTACTGAAACACTTAAAAGTGTTGATCTTTCGCTGTGGGGAATACATTTCACATCTCCTTCTAATGCATTTCCATTTGTCAAAAAACCATTACTTTTCTACACAATTAATTTCAGGTAATAACATAGTACACAACATGCTATAAAATAATTTGTAGTCTTAGCACCTTGGCAACTATGGAATAACTGGAAAACATGTTTCTTTTATTGTCTTTACCTTAAACATACCAAAAATACTTCCCGCAACCCAATCTCCAAGTACAACCGAGAAAACATCCTGAACATCCAAAAGGCAACAGGAGTGTAGAAGTGCGGTAGATGTTTTCTGGAGTGAATCTTCAGTTCTATGTATAACTAGTGTTCTACCCTGGGGAACGTGGCTTCTGTAGCATCTTGCAAGGAGATCCCAGATATCTAAAAATTAAGTACATTTTCAATGAATTTCAAACATACGATGATGTATGCATTCAACTATTCTAGTCGGCAACTACTTCTACCCGAGTTTTATACACAACAACTAAGAACAATAAAGACTAAACTATTCTTGGCCCTATTCAGTTGTAGATCAGAGCTTTCCAAACATTTCATGTTGGTGACATACTTTTAGATAGGCATGATTTTGCGATATAGTAACTGTGTTTTACTAGCAAATCAGAAATTAAATCAACCCCTATAGCAGGGGTCCTTTTTCAACAGAGGGCCAGGTCACAATCCCTCAAACTGTTGGAGGGCCGGATTATAATTTGAAAAAAGCATGAATGAATTCCTAGGCACACTGCACATACATTATTTGTAGTGCAAAAACACTTAAAAACAATACAACAATTAATATGAAGAACAATTTTAACAAATATAAACTTTTAGTATTTCAATCCCTAATCCATCTAAAACACAGACACCAACTTGGCTATCTCCATAAGAAGCATCACAAAGAAGAATAACAGGATGGTACGACTGGCCCAAATATAAGGACATAATAAAAAAAGAATGAGGAGAATTAAAGATGAAAAGCCAACAGGAATTAAAAAGTATAAACAACAGAATCTCCTGGTACCAATATGAACAAATTGAAGAACATTTTAAGAAAGATAAAGAAAAAGGATTTGAGGAAGGAAAAAGCTTCTGGGACAAAATAATGCAAACAGAAAATAAACTAATTTCTAAAATATATAAGAAACTCATAGAAGAAGAAAACAATAAAGAAGAGGAAATATTATATGAAAAAATGGAGGGATAATCTTGGAAGAGAAATAAAGAAAGAAGAATGGGAAGAAGTATGGAATATGAAATTAAAATACTCAAAAGCAATGGAACTTAAAGAAAATTGGATTAAGATGGCCCATAGGTGGTATATCACATAGACTAGGAAAATTCAACAAAAACACGAATACAAAATGCTGGAAATGCGTAGAACAAGAAGGGACATACTATCACTTATGGTGGACTTGCCCGAAAGCAACATCATATTGGAAGAAGATACAAAAAACATTACAAAAAATATTAGAGATAAATATACCTCAAAAACCAGAAACCTTCCTACTAGGAATACATAATATAAAAATGGAAAAAAACAAAGACAAAATCTTATTCCTCCTGACAACAGCAGCCAGAATAATATACGCAAAGCATTGGAAAAAGAAAGATCCCCCAGATGAAGAAGAATGGTTAACAAAAATATTAGACATAAGAAATATGGACAAACTGACATATTATCAAAAAAGAAGGGTACTCCAATGGCGGAAATAGACTGGAAAAGAAAAGAATTTGAAAATAATCACTTAAAGGAACATGACTGAGAGCATAGAAATAGGGGGGAGCAAGATATAAAAGAAGGAGAAAGAAGAAAAAAAGAAAGAAGAAGGAAAAGGATAAGAACCTCCCAGAGGATACCAGGAAGTCAACACAATACCTACAGCAACCACACACCCCCATCCCTCACTATACATTTCTACATTTCTTTTCTCACACTCTACACACAATAGGAAACCAGCGTCTCTCAACACAACGAGGCCCTGGACAACAGGAAAATCAAATACTCTAAGGACAAACCTGATACTCTCTACTATATCTATATTACTATCCCCTCTTTCTCCCCTCTTTTTCCCCTCTTGCTTTCCCCCACTCAGTTTCCAGCACTATCTGTATTTTATGAAAAGAAATAAAGATTATTTAAAAAAAATAAAACACAGACATGTGCCTTTCACCTTAAGAACAAACAAGCATCCCGAGCTCTGAAGATCACCTTGGAAGGAATCCCACTGGAGCATTGCAGCGCACCCAAATACCTGGGAGTCACTTTGGACCGTGCTCTGACCTACAAGAAGCACTGGCTGAACATCAAGCAAAAAGTGGGTGCTAGAAACAATATCATACAAAAGCTGACTGGCACAACCTGGGGATCACAACCAGACACAGTGAAGACATCTGCCCTTGCGCTATGCTACTCTGCTGCTGAGTACGCATGCCCAGTGTGGAACACATCTCACCACACTAAAACAGTGGATGTGGCTCTTAATGAGACATGCCGCATTATCACGGGGTGTCTGCGGCCTACACCATTGGAGAAATTACACTGTTTAGCACCACCTGACATCCGCCGGGAAGTAGCAGCCAATAATGAAAGAACCAAGGTAGTGACACCTCCAGCTCATCCCTTGTTTGGGTATCAGTCAGCACGTCAACGACTTAAATCAAGAAATAGTTTTCTAAGATCTACAGAGACACTCGCTGGAATACCTCAGCAAGCGAGAGTCCAAAAGTGGCAGGCTCAAACCCAGAACCTCAACCAATGGCTGATACCAAATGAGAGACTCCCCCCTGGGCACACAGAGGACTGGGCGACTTGGAAGGCGCTGAACAGACTGCGCTCTGGCACCACGAGATGCAGAGCCAACTCTTAAGAAATGGGGCTACAAAGTGGAATCCATGACATGCGAGTGTGGAGAAGAACAAACTACAGACCACCTGCTGCAATGCAATCTGAGCCCTGCTACATGCACAATGGAGGACTTTCTTGCGGCAACACTAGAGGCACTCCAAGTGGCCAGATACTGGTCAAAGGACATTTAATCAACTACCAAGCTTGCAAATTTTGTGTTTTGTCTGTTTGTTTGTTTTGTTCTGTTAGAAATGTAATACAATTGTCTGGTTGCCCCTGACACGATAAATAAATATTTCAATGGGAAGTGTGGGCCTGCTTTTGGTTGATGAGATTTGTTTTTGTTATTGTTATTGTGTGCTTTCCTGTTGTTTCAGACTTAGGTTGACCCTGAGCGAGGGCTGGGTAAATGACCTTGGAGGGCCGTATTCGGCCCTCGGGCCATAGTTTGAGCACCCCTGCCCTATAGGAACAACAGGCATACACAGTACATATACTGTAATAATGAAATGTATAGGGAAATAAGAGATCTCATGAAAACATTTTTCCAGGAGCTCAGCTGATATGGAGAATCTCAGTGAACCCTGGAAATTCGCTCTTCAGACTCTGGTTTTGGTTTTTTTAAAAATTGAGGCTGGAAAAGACTACAGAGAGGCTGGGGCTACCAGCAGTCCCTGTGTATGAACATCTGACTTACAAATGACCCATAGTTAAGAACGGGAATGAGACAACAGGAGAGAAATCAACCCCTAGGAAGGGAAATTCACTCCTGAAAAGAGTTCTCATGAGGAAAAGCTGTCTCAGCTGAAACTTTATCACCAATCCTTGTTTCCGCAACAAACCAAGTTTTTCAAAATCCAATTATTACAAGGACAGAAATCTTCTGGACAGAACCAGAGACAGCAAAACAAACACCACGGGTTTGCTAACCCTTCCCTATGTTCTCTAAGGCTATAGATCAGGAGTCCTCAAACTAAGGCCCGTGGGCTGGATATGGCCCTCCAAGGTAATTTACCCGGCCCTCGCTCAGGGTCAACCTAAGTATGAAACGACTTGAAAGCACACCACAACAACAATCCTATCTCATGAACCAAAAGCAGGCCCACACTTCCCACTGAAATACTAATAAGTTTATATTTGTTAAAATTGTTCTTCATTTTAATTATTGTATTGTTTTAAAGTGGTTTTTTGCACTAAAAATAAAATATGTGCAGTGTGCATAGGATTTTATTTTATTTTTTCAAATTATAATCCGGTCCTCCAACAGTTTGAGGGACTGTGACCTGGCCCTCTTTTTAAAAAGTTTGAGGACCCCTGCTTTAGATAGATAGATAGATAGATAGATAGATAGATAGATAGATAGATAGATAGATAGATAGATAGATAGAGATGAGTGTTGGGCCTGTACTTGTTCTGACTTACAAATCCAGTTTAAGAACCAACCTACAGACCTATCTTGTTTGTAACTTGTACACACACTTTCCATGTAAGTCTCATCTTCACACAGCTGAACAACTGAACAGGTGTATTATCTGTATTGTCGAAGGCTTTCATGGCCGGAATCACTGGGTTGTTGTAGGTTTTTTCGGGCTATATGGCCATGGTCTAGAGGCATTCTCTCCTGACATTTCGCCTGCATATATGGCAAGCATCCTCAGAGGTGGTGAGGTTTCTGTCCTTGTGATAATTGGATTTTGAAAAACTTGGTTTGTTGTGGAAACAAGGATAGGTGATAAAGTTTCAGCTGAGACACCTTTTCCTCATGAGAACTCTTTTCAGGAGTGAATTTCACCACCTCTGAGGATGCTTGCCATAGATGCAGGTGAAACGTCAGGAGAGAATGCCTCTAGACCATGGCCATATAGCCCAAAAAAACCTACAACAACCCAGGTGTATTATCTATCTACCCCTTCACTCCATTCACATTATTTTATGAATATCACTTATATCCCCCTTAGTCATCTTTTTACATCTTAAAACCAAGTAAAATCATTTGCACTTTCAGATTGAGAAGCATTAATATCTCAAGGATTTTACTTATCCTTTTTTGAACTTTTTCCCTCACAAGCATCCCATGTTCCAAGCATAGAACGAGGTGTCCTCCTCTACTTCAACCACGAGCTGATGTTGCTTTCCAGCTTTTTTCTTTTTGATATGAGGTAATTAGAATGGTAAATGGTGTTCTAAATCTAGATGTATACATACATAATGGTATCTTTGCTACTTTATGTTCCAAACCTGTACTAATGATTATCAACCAGGAGATTTCATTTTTATGAAAGGTAAGTACTCTCTCTTCCAAAGACAAAGTTTGCACTCTTTGGAGGAAAGAAACTCGGCAGATTGCAAAGATTTACATTCTACAGCAATGACTAAGTAGCTCACCTTCAAAACCTCAAATCATAAATTTTACAAGATAACATCACTAATGGGCATGTATCGACCACTCCCTCTCCAACCCAAAGCAAATGAATACCTGGTGCAGGGCCAGGCTTGAGTTTTGAAGATCTATTGTGGCAAGAGATGGCATGCGAGATTCCGAAACAACTTTATTTTCTTTCTTCGGAAATCTGGAATTCCGAGCTATATGGGAAGGAAAGACAGCTAGCATACTTTGTTTCAACCCCACATCACTGAACATTTGTTTTTGGTTGCAAAAAATGACTTTCTTTCGGTGACTTCATTCATTCATTCACCATAGAATATAAAAGGCTCCTACACGGCTTGATGGATCTGGACAAAACCTGCTATGCAGATCCTTCATTATCCAAATCAAAATACTGGGGTAGGGGAGGGGGAGAGATCCACTTTAAAAATCCACCCCTTTTGGGGCCAGGGCCCCAATCATGATGGGCAGCAAACATTGCAAGGTAAGAAATGTATGCTGCAAGCCCACTGCTTCACCTAGACGGAGTGAAGGGAGAGTGAGCGCAATGTCATCATCATCGCAGCCAAGGGAGTGCCCCCATTCCTCCCCCCCCCCCCAGTTTGTATGTAGGAGACTGGTTCATCAGGCTGCTAACAATGAGTATTTTTAATACGTATCATGCATTTATTTATTAATTTATTTTTGTTTACATTATTTCTATCCCGCCCATTTCAGCCCGAAGGCGACTCAGATCTGCATACCAAGTTTTGTCCATGAGCAATGCTGGGTATATACTTTAGCATTATATAAAATTGCAAACATACATAGATACCCTTTTGATTTGACTTATTCTATTTGCCACTTGTTCTTGCCAGATTTTTAATGAAAAGTGTTCATGTTTGCATGCCTTCATGGACATACTTCCCATTATGTTCCCCACCTGAAAAGTAAGGGCACAATGGACAATGTTATGGAAAAGGGAAAATCTGGGCTGAAATTACAACTGGTAGATATGCGGACTGGTTCACTGAATCTGAAGCATGGACTGATAGGAGACCATCAAAACTTGTGTATTTAGGGAGAATCAATGTAAAATGTTTTATATGTGTTATATCACTCCAGCAACATTGGCTGAAATAGACAAATCACAACAAGGTATTTGCTGGAGGTGCAGGAAACAGAAAGGGGCCTTCCTCCATATGTGGTGGACCTGTGTGACCATACAGGCATTTTGGGATAAGGTAATTAAGGAGACAAATTAAATGTTACATAACAAGATTTTTAAAAGCCCAGGATTGTGTCTGCTAGGTTTGCATAGAGAAGACAATAATCAAAAGGACCAAGAAATACGGAGAGGTATTTTTTAAATAAGATCTGTTTTGTTGTAGATACTAGTAGTTCGCGCACATACCGCAACGAGCGCGTGCGTCATGTACCGGCATGCCTCGGGAACAACTATGCTCAGTTTCCGCTCTGTAGTTAACCTGTACGGTTCTGTTCTGTGCTTTAAAAATGTTTAAGACTATCAACTCCATTATCTTTTAACTTAATCAAGTTTGAATGTATGTTAGTTCACTATTCTGGGAGTCTTAGGATAGTGATTATTGTCTATTTGTGTATGTTTTTGTTTTTGTTTTAATGTTGATACAGTCAGTGGACTAATCAATAAACTTTTCTTTGCTTGACATTAATATTGAAATATGAAATATATACATAAAGTCTTTACTCTGCTTTGCCAGTTTGTTTGGAACAGTTCTTGCAAAGATAAAATTGGTTTCATCTTTGCCACTGGAACCAAAAGTTCTAAATCTCATTTCTTGGGTTCCAGCCAAATCAGATTTGTAAGAATATTAAGAATTACCTTTTAGAATACAAATGAGTTGTTGTTAGCATTATCATTGCTACCAAACTACTAAAAATATTATTTTGGCATTGCTACTTTTGGGACCTATTGCAAGCCCTTACCATCTACACACTTGAGTTCAGGGAGATGGCTGTGGTTCAGCTCTGGCAAACGCACGTTTGTTCTGGGAAACTCCCACCGTTTCTTGTTTGTTTGAAGGACACTGTTTTCATTTGAGATCTGGTACCAAACAATAGTTGATAGAAATGAATCTAGGGTTTCCAACAAAAACCTATGATTTACAGTTAAATATTTTACAAACTGCTTTCTGTAATGTGCAATATTATGCTACAAGAACCAATATATTCTGCATCCCGTATGAATAGTGAATTGATTGTCCATGTGTGGCTTTTTGATACAAAACAGAACCATTCACAAACAAAAGGAGATAATAAAAAGTGTAACAAAAGCTCAAAGTGTGAATAAATACCCCAAAAAGCCATTTAAGGGAGGGGAAAAATGTAATTCCAAACAGCTAAACTTAGGTGCAGAATTCATAGAAGTGATTGACAAATAATAATAATAATAATAATAATAATAATAATAATAACACTTTATTTGTACTCTGCTACCATCTCCCCAAGAGATTCGGTGTGGCTTACATGAGGCCGAGCCCAAACACAACAATACAAGCAACAATAACAACAATACAAGCAATTAAAAACACATAGACAATAAGATAAATAACATTATCAATAAAACAACACATAAATGTTAAAGTGTTAAATGTCAGACAATGCTTGTTTTCATCAAATAATATCTGAAAGATCTTACCAATGCTGTCAGGTTCATACTATAATGTCCTTGTGGTGATTTTTTGCCTTGCTTTATGAATGGATTGAAATATATTTTGGTCTTCTCATCAGCCCTAGAATGGCACAAAAATCACAAAGATCCTATTGACATTGACATCTTTGAAAGTCAGTTCTGAAGAATTTTATCCTCTATCACAATCAAAAACACAACTGTTGAAGGGTCAGTGTGACAGTATATTACATCACAACTTTATTGAAGTTGATCAGGTCTACATCTGATCCAATAGACAAGTTAAGGCAACTGCCTGAGAGCAGCAAATATACCATTTATGAACTCCATGGGAAAAAATAAAATAAGCAAGCCCAGGCAGGTATGGGATAAATAAGTATAGGATAACTTGGTTTGGAACAGCAAAAGGTTTTGTGGAACCTCAAAGTCTAGCACAGGGGTCCTCAAACCTTTTAAAGAGAGGGCCAGGTCACAGTCCCACAAAGTGTTGGGGGGCTGGATTATCATTTGAAAAAAAACATGAATTGATTCCTATGCACACTGCACATATCTTATTCGTAGTGCTAATAACACTTAAAAACAATACAATAATTAAAATGAAGAACAATTTTAACAAATATAAACTTATTAGTATTTCATTGGGAAGTGTGGACCTGCTTTTGGCTGATGAGATAGGATCGTTGTTGTTGTTGTTGTTGTTGTTGTGTGCTTTCAAGTCATGTCAGACCTAAGTTGACACTGAGCGAGGGCCGGGTAAATGACCTTGGAGGGCCGTATCCGGCCCCGGGGCCGTAGTTTGAGGACCCCTGGTCTAGCAGATGACTTGTTACCATAAGCTTTTGTGGACTAAAACCCAGAGCTCTGCTACCACATGGTTACTTAGCACTCAATTTCAAGGGGAAACTACACAGAGTGATGTAGTTCAGCGTGTTGGTAGCGTTGCTACTCCTGGTAGCAGGGAGAAAAGATCTGCTCAGGAGTCGGAGGGAGAACAACAGCGAAAGCGTTTTAGGGAAATCATTATGGCCCCAAGTGATACTGATACGTTTCAAGGCTTCTCGGATTRCGAAATGGGGGATGGGGAGGAGAGCAGAGGTGTAAAGAGGGCTGCTCGSGACCCGGAGTCTGAAGGSGAATTGCAAAGGAAGCRCATCCGGGAAATACTTAGTGCACYAACAGAGGAAGAGGACTTCCTGGGGTTTGAAAGGAGTTCTGGGTCTGGGAGTGATATGGATGAGGAGGAATTGGACCCGTGTGCAACAAATAAGGGACATTTGTAACCAACCCACCTCCAGTGAGGAATTTGAAAGGTTCACTGCGGATTGGCAGCCAGGGACCTCTTGGCAGGATCTAAGTCTTAGCAGACACTGGCAGAGGTGGAGGGATGGGTGCTCGGATTCAGCTGTGGGGTTGGGAGCAGCTGAGAGCGATGAGGATGGGGTGGGGAGCTCATCAAGCTCTGATGAGGAACTTTGAGATAAAAGTGGAGTCTGTGGGCATGATACTTCGCAGAAGGCAAAGCATCTTTATTGGATATAACTCTTTGTACTGCCAACTCTTGAATTTTGGGTCCTGGGCTGCAGCTTTGTGTGTTCCTGTTTTCCTGCTCCTCGGTGATTCCTGCATTCCAGTGTTTGTTTACCAACGGCTTGACTACGGAACGGTTTGACCAACGCTTTTGGCTTTCTGGACTTTGATCTCCAATAACTCTGTGCTTGAATAACTCCTTGTTCTGGGACTTCGTTTTTCCATCTTCTGTGACTGTGTTTTTGTGCTATACCAACTTTCAAGCGAATTGCTTTACTTTGAGTTTAATCCGGATTATAAGGCAGCGCTATAATCTGGGTTATATTTTTGTTACTGGTATCGCTTTATTTTTGATGCCAAATTACTCCTGGGACACTTTGCACTGACGTTAAGTGCTTTGAAAGACTATTTTTATACAATAAAGCTGTGTTTTGAACTCTTATCTTGTGTTTGGCTCTAATTAAGGCTTCTGGGTCCTGACACAGAGTTAGGCCTGCTTATCTGCAAAGCACCAGAAAATGAAAAGGAATGAGATCCATTTCAATTCCAATTGTTTATAATCCCTGATTTCAAGGCTATTCAGAAAAAAGGCCACGGCAAAGGGCTATCTAGTACAGGATTCTATCTCACATAATGACTAAGCAGAAGCTCACCAGCAATAAATATAAATCAAATAGAGTTGCAAGAAGATAAAATGTCAACATGTGTGGGTTGTCATAAAAGCAATAGCCACTGAAATTCCCTCTTCTACACAACCATTTGAAAAAAGAAATTATTTCCCTTATTTCATATGGCAACTCTGAAATCCAGAATATTTAATTAATAAATAGATTTCCCCACAAGATTCAACAAGCTGACAATCATCACTCTTCTTGAATGCTACCATAGGGGTAGAATCATATGGGAGAGAACACCTTCAAACTGCCACCACAAGTATGCCCGCATCTTCATGGATGATTTGGAACAACACTTTCTCAGCTGCTGTTCATAAATATATTTTCTCTGAGATGCCGTGGTGACATTTTTATTATCTGTACTCATAAAAAGATGCCCTTACAAAGTTCTGCCAAAATTTCTATAACCTTGGGTTGTTGTAGGTTTTTTTGGGCTGTATGGCCATGGTCTAGAGGCATTCCTGACGTTTCAGTGGCATCTATGGCAAGCATCCTCAGAGGTAGTGAGGTCTGTTGGAACTAGGAAAAAGGGTTTATATATCTGTGGAATGACCAGGGTGGGACAAAGGACTCTTGTCTGCTGGAGCTAGGTGTGAATGTTTCAACTGACCACCTTGATTAGCATAAAATGGGCTGACTGTGCCTGGAGCAAACTTTTGTTGAGATTCCGGCCATGAAAGCCTTCGATAATTTATTTTTTTATTTATTTACTTCATTTGTTAACCGCCGCTCTCAGCCCTGGGGCGACTCGCGGCGGTGTACAACATATTAAAAAACAGTCTACAAAACATACAATATCAAACAACCAAATTACACATTAATCTAAATCACACTAATAAATCCGCGCCATCACAACTTGAAAACATAGCCAATCTCATAATCCATAGTCCGTTCCAAATGTCATTACCAGATTCGTGTGGCTCTCAATTAAATGCCTTCTCGAATAGCCAGGTCTTTAGGCTCTTACGGAAAGCCATAAGGGAGGGCGCCTGTCTGATGTCAACAGGGAGAGTGTTCCACAGCCGGGGGGCCACCACCGAGAAGGCCCTCTCTCTCGTCCCCGCCAAACGTGCCTGTGAGGCAGGCGGGATCGAGAGAAGGGCCTCCCCAGACGATCTCAAGGCCCTCGTGAGCTCATAGGCCGAGATGCGGTCCGAAAGGTATTTTGGGCCGGAACCGTTTAGGGCTTTGTAGGATAACACCAGCACCTTAAATTGGGCCCGGTAGCAGATCGGCAGCCAGTGGAGCTGGGACAACAAGGGCGTTGTATGCTCCCTGCGCCCTGCTCCGTTAGTAACATGGCTGCCGCGCGCTGGACTAGCTGAAGCTTCCGGGCCGTCTTCAAGGGCAGCCCCACGTAGAGAGCGTTGCAGTAGTCAAGGCGGGATGTGACCAGAGCGTGTACCACCGTGGCCAAGTCAGACTTCCCAAGGTACGGGCGCAGCTGGCGCACGAGCCTAAGCTGTGCAAATGCTTCCCTGGTCACCGCTGAAACCTGGGGGTCCAGGCTCAAGGATGAATCCAGGATCACACCCAAGCTGCGAACCTGCGCCTTCAAGGGGAGTGCGACCCCGTCCAGCACAGGCTGTAACCCTATACCCTGTTCGGCCTTGCGACTGACCAGGAGTACCTCTGTCTTGTCTGGATTTAATTTCAATTTGTTCGCCCTCATCCAGACCATTACAGCGGCCAGGCACCGGTTCAGGACCTCGACAGCCTCCTTAGTAGCAGGTGGAAAGGAGTGACAGAGTTGGACATCATCTGCGTACAGATGACACCGCACCCCGAAGCTCCGGATGATCTCACCCAGCGGCTTCATGTAGATATTAAACAGCATGGGGGACAGTATAGAGCCCTGTGGAACCCCACAGGTCAAAGGCTGTGGTGTTGAACAGGAGTCCCCCAATAACACCTTCTGGGTACGCCCCTCCAGAAATGACTGGAGCCACTGCAGAGCAGTGCCCCCAAGACCCATTTCCGCAAGGCGCCCCAGAAGGATACCGTGGTCGACGGTATCGAAGGCCGCTGAGAGGTCCAGGAGCACCAACAGGGACACACTCCCCCTGTCTAGCTCCCGGCGCAGATCATCCACTAAGGCGACCAAGACCGTCTCGGTACCATGTCCCGGTCTGAAGCCAGACTGTGCCGGATCCAGAATATCCGTGTCTCTCAAGAATACCTGGAGTTGTGAGGCCACCACGCTTTCCATGACTTTGCCCAAAAAGGGGAGATTGGAAACATGCCGAAAGTTGTCGAATTTAGTGGGGTCCAGTGATGGTTTCTTCAACAGCGGTTTTATAATTGCTTGTTTTAAGCACGCTGGAATCTTGCCTTCCCGAAGGGAGGCATTAACCACCACCGTTACCCACTCAGCCAATCCCCCTCTGGCCTCTTTCAGAAGCCAGGATGGACAGGGGTCTAGGATGGACGTGGTAGGCCTCATTCCTCCAAGTATCTTGTCCACATCCTCGGGTTTCACAAACTGAAAAGAATCCAACAAAATAGGACAAGCAGGTGCTCGTGTCACATCCACAGAGACTGCATTTAACATGGTTTCCAGCTCAGAACAGATCAAAGCGACTTTGTCTGCAAAGAACCGAGCAAATGCTTCACAGCGTGTGACCGAATTGTCAGGGCTCCCGCCTGAGGTGGCGGGAGTTAAGAGACCTCTGACAATCCGAAACAACTCCGCCGGACGGTTCTTTGCAGACGCAATAGAAGCTGCAAAGAAGGTTTTCTTTGCGGCTTTTATTGCCGCGGCGTATGCCCTTAGAAAGGACACAAACCGTGTTCGATTTGACTCGCTTGGGTCTGAACGCCACACGCTCTCCAGTTCCCTCTTCCTTCGCTTCATCACTGCCAGCTCCTCAGTAAACCAAGGGGCTGGTTTAGCTCGGCTACT